ACTTCTCATTTTAAAATTTTCTGGAGTGTTATATCTTAGAAAATAACCCCAAAAAGTTTCTTTTCTTATATTTTGAATTATAAAGTGTTGGCAATTTAAATTTGAAACAGAAATATTTTGGAACTTATGTTTGTACAACTGTATAGATGCGACGATATCATTCAAACATCTCAAACAAGAATATTCTTGGTATCCAGGAGAAGGTGGTGGATAAATGTTATGGGCTGTGGTCATCTTCAAAACACTCATTTCCTTGGGAGGTAGGATGAATCCCCATCGTTGTTTATATATATTTCTGAAGGAGTAATAATAGAGTACATTTATGAGAGTCTCTAGCATATAAAAAAGTTTTGTTCAACTTGTATGAATGCGCATAATGCTTACGTTATAGGATGCAATAACGAGGGCACATATTATATAAGTAATTGATTTCAGCCATTGCCTTTACCTTCTTAATATCAAAGGAACATTTGTAGCAGAGTAAAGCTTTGTGCGTAAAAAATGGGAAATTCATTTCTGAAACTTCTTTGAAAATTTGACCCTAAATTAAGTTTATTTTTTGTGGAATGAGACAATAGCATCCTCGACACTACACGTACTTTAATTGACTTGATTAATTTTCGCTATGGGAGGCTAAACAATTCACTTCTTTACAAGGATTGTTAAATTTTGTAATTTTTAAAAAATAGGGGACTATGGGAACTTTAACAAACCTCCTTTTTTTATTGAGAAACTCATCTTGATGCCACACTCTAGAAGTCAGCTTCTTTATATCTCGAAGCGAGTAGTTCATTGTTGATTCTGTAAATTCCTCCACAGTAAAATTCAAATCCAAAGTCAAGAAAAACACTTCTTCTAAATACTGTAGAATTATTAAACTAGAGAAAGCCAAAAAACAAAAAACAAAGAGAGAGAGAGAGAGAGAGAGAGAGAGAGAGAGAGAGAGAGAGAATCTGAACCTTGTCCCAGAATAGGAGGCATGGGTTTCTCTTCTTTAGACATTAAAGAAATAGATGACTTCTCTCTGAAAAAATACCCAATATGAATACAAAATTACTAAGAAATCACTAACCACAAAATAAACAAATACAGAAAGTAAACAATACAAGAAACTGAGAAAGTAAGATAAAACCCAACCTTAACCTAGTCCTAATCTCGTCCCTCAGATAGATTTTTCTATTGAGGAGCAAAAAAGGGGGAAAGCCCAAAACTTTGGACAGTGTAACTGAAGAAGACCAGATGCATCTTCTACCTAATTATGTAGTCAGTCTCCACCACTTCATGAAAGGTCGAAATTAGGAGAATTTAAGGTTATAATTCAACAATAGGTATAATCCAAAAATCACCACCCTCAAAATTCAAACAAGATGACATGATTGAGAACCTGAAGAATCCTTGGATGCAAGGCAAGATTAAAATTGAATAAAGAGTCATCTTCACCTAACCAAAGGTCAACAAAATTAAATCCTACTATTTGTGAATCATTCTCGTATTAACAAATAACCAACACTAATCTGAACCCAATCTCAAAGATCAATTCAGATCGGATTAGGTTGTGTTCAAGTTAGGTTGTATTGTTTTTAAATTACTAGCTCCGCAAATGAAAAACATATTACATAAATGAAAAAATATCACATATTTAAAGAAATTAATTATAATTTTTGATACAGAAATATAAAAATTACTTAACTTTAATAAAACTAGCAAACAGATAATAAATTGACGTGCAAATGTTGATGTATTCTATAATCCCAATTAATTGGTGGAGATAATAACATACTTGCTGAATTTCCCCAAATTATCTTTAGGCTACATTTGGGAAATGAGATTTGAATTCGGAAGGTTGATTTAAAATCAAGGGATTTTGAATCTGGAATTTCAAATCCATGATTTGATAAATCCTTTGTTTGGATGTCTTTATTAAATGATAGGATTTCAAATCTTTCTTTGTAAAATATAGTGGTTTGATACTTTACTATATATGAATTTGGATGTTAAATTGGTACTTTAAGAACATTTACCCTCTTAACTCCTCTTCTTTAAATTAAACGCAATGAGATGGTCAAATAGTAACAAAAAAGGAAGTAAAATTAGATATTTTCAGCAATGATGACTACATTTACTACGTTTTTAGATAAACTATCCACCTTAACTTTCAAGACTTTCAACAAAATGGAGATAACTCCAAAAACAACCCAAGTATCTAATAACATATCACCATTGCATATCCTTAGTATTGAAAGATGCTAATAATAACGGATCAATAAAAAGGCATCATTCTTTGTCCTACTCATTCCTCTTCTCTGCTCTCAATTTCATGTCTCGAAGAAGTTGACTGTTCTGGGGTTTACAACCGACATAAAAGAGGGGAAGCTAGAGACTCGGAAGTTGTTCAATTGCTGCCAACAATCCTTGAAATATTCCCTGTAAAGGAAAGAATATGAACATAATAATTGTTGGATTTTGTTAATTTGCAAGTACATTTACATATTATCCACAAACAGATGATACAATAATGCCACTGAACATCAATATTTGTTAAAGTTGAAGCCTTTTATAAAGCTTGCGAAAAAACTTTCAAAGTTGTCGACATAAAAGAAACTACAACAAATACCACATTCTGTAGCTTATACCACAATTTCACATTTTGAGATTCCACCATATTCAATATTTATCACACCTTACGTGCTTTTTTTTTTGTATATCAATGACAACTAATACTTCATTACTTCGTAGGAAACATACAAATAATTGGTCATCATACCAAAATTTTCTCATGTATGTTGCATTTGTATTTATTTCATGCAAATACCACATTCTGCAGCTTATACCACAACTACAACAAATACCACATTCTGCAGTTTATACCAGAACTACAACAAATACCACATTCTGCAGCTTATACCACAATTTCACATTTTGAGATTCCAGCATATTCAATATTTATCACACATTACGTGCTCTTTTTTTTTTTTGTATATCAAGGACAACTAATACTTCATTACTTCGTAGGAAACATATAAATAATTGGTCATCATACCAAAATTTTCTCAGGTATGTTGCATTTGTATTTATTTCATGCAATACTTACAAATGTGAATAAGAGCTTTAATCTAAAGCTCTTCTCCCTAGCATTTATAAGTATATTCCCACTCTTCTCTCCTCTCCTCGTACCACCTCCTCACTCCTTCCTTTTCTTGCTTTTAGCTCTCTGAACTTGTTAGTAATGGAGGCTTAAAGAGGAGAAAATATCCTCATCATATTTTCCTTGTGAACGGTGTTATTCTCTCAGAGCCATGAGAGGGCGCTTGCTGATCAAAATGCCCACTACCCTAAAAATTATGATAATACATAGGGTTAACTTGCAGTTCCTATAAATGCTACATGTTTCTCTTTAACAAATCTCTTTGCGAATAATGATTACTTTTTTACTATTCCCTCTCGTAATTTTATTAAAGTACTACATTAAAAAATTAAGTATAATACGTTAACTCCGTGTTATACAAGTCAACCAAATGGGCATCATTAAAAAATCCACAAAGTTTCAAACTTCACATAAAAGCATCCCCACAAAACCAAAATTATGCCGGAGAAGTAAGACCACTCAATCAACTAAAATCACAATAGAATGAAAACGAAAAAAATGTTAAACCTTTAAGATGAGAAAAGCACGCATTGCTCAAATAAAGAGGATAACCTCAAAATTTACCTATAATGGCAATCAGTCACCACCTATAGCCAATCAGTCACCACCATCGGCAATAAACATTGTTACAATTGCTAAATGACTAACTAAGAACCCATCAAATTTACCATACCCTAATGCAATTCATAATAAAATCAACAAGAAATTAGAAATAATTGGCAAACGAATGTTCTGATCAAATGGGGGTAAGATCGAGAGCACTAGCTCTAATCTAGGGTTTTAGCCGCAGATATCACGGCCTAAACCCTAGCTCAGATGTAGGATTTCGATTTTTTTTTTATAGTGGGGAGGATTACCTTATTACTGAATTCGAAACACGGATTCACTAAAACCCTAGCAATAGACTTGCAATCTCCTAAAAATTACCTAATAAATCGGCAAAAAATTTTCAAAAAGAAAAACACCTGAATTCACGATCCTCAAAGAACGAATCTCTATCCGCAACAACAAATTTAAGCTTTTTGTGCTCACTCTTCAGCTGGATTGTTCTCTTTCTTTCCACTTGTGATTTCACTTAAAAGCCGCCTTCTTTTCAATTTACGAGATTGTGGAGGTCAGATTACTTAAATGCCCTTGGTTGCCTAGTGGATTTGGATACTTGGTTTGAGGCGATGGAGTTTATCAAGCAGATGTGAATCGGGTTGGTCCGCCCGACCCGGTTAATAATTTGGGTTTGAGGCGATGGAGTTTATCAAGCAGATGTGAATCGGGTTGGTCCGCCCGACCCGGTTAATAATTTGGATAATCCTTGCCCGATTCACGTAAATCAATTAATAAATCGTAACAATCTTTACATACAAATTTATTTGTTTAAGAACTAATCATTAAAGATTTTAAGGTTGAGTAAAGTCTATTCCTTTTTAATTTTTTAAAATTTAATTATTTTTAAACATGGTTTAATTTTCAATTCCACCTCATTGAACCGAAAACAAATAAAACAAAAATTTAATTATTTTTAAACATGGTTTAATTTTCAATTCCACCTCATTGAACCGAAAACAAATAAAACGCTCAATCATTTTTGTTCTTATTGTTCTTAATTTTCAATTCCACCTCATTGAACCGAAAACAAATAAAACGCTCAATCATTTTTGTTCTTATTGTTCTACAACGTCTCTTTGCCATACTGTATTTGTATACAGAAGTTGATCTAAAATAAGATCAGAACACCCTTTGTTATTCCTTTATATTTCAATCAAGTTACTGTTCGAATCCAACAGATGAAAGCATGTTTACAGCATTAGTATTAAAATTATAATCCTCATCACAAATCATTGAAGACTGACGAACAAGATTAATGGAGCAACAAACCAACTAGTAAAAGTTGAAGTGCTTGTATCCATAATGTTAATTGTAGCCAACATAATTCATGAAAGCACATTTAGTAGAACTTTCCACTTTTACAGTAAAATTTGCTTGTCTATGCTAATATAACTTCAATCTCTCAGGCATCATATACAAAATGGTCTACAAAATTGCCGCGCCAAATACAATTAAGTACGCAGATGGGCTGAATTTTTTTCCTGTAACTTCTTGCACAACTTTTTGGAAGAATAGCAGTGAACTTTATGCAAATTTGGCTCTTATGCTCAGAAGTTCTCATACTTGAACACAGTGTTGTGCCCTCGCAAAATAATTATGTCCAGCTCGGTTACGTTTCATGTAACTCTTCAAACTAGTTCAAGTGATCTCCTTTGTGGCTGCAGAAATATACAGGAAGCATAAACAGTCAGAAAATAGCTCATGTTACACATTAGTATAATCTTTGCTTTATATTTCATTCGAGATAAACATTTGATAGTACACTCCAGATAAATTTTAACTTCAACCGTAACATAATTATCTAGCAGATAATCATAAGACTGAGATATTACCCTGCTGTTATAAAACAGTAGACAATGTTACAGAATAACACGAATGCATCTTAGCTACCATGTAGAAGCTCTTGGCCTTAAGGGATTTTCATAATGAGTGTTTATCTTTCTGACTTGCTTCATCTTTATTTAAATATGAGTTTATTGACTAGGCTTCCATGACTCATTGCAAAGTGCAGAAATGGGTAGATGTACCATTTTTCTTTTTAAATATTTGTTGTAGATTGTAATGCATTCTCCATACGAATGCCACTCAGAATTATCTAGGACGTTTTCTTTTTCAGAAGTCTGTCACTTTCTGCAGTTATTTAGTCTATAACATACACAATTGATTCTATGTTCAGATTATGTTTGATCAAAATGTAAACTGTAGTTACATGTTTCCATTCTCAAACTTATTGTTTAAAATTGAAGCCCTCATATAGCTAACATATTTACTTTGACCTTTCTAGAACCCACTTCGTTAATTGTTATTACTCAAAACTATAACAAAACCTATCAGTTTTATCTGTTTAGCACCCATACAATCGTTCAATTGTCCCTAGAAGGTTTTGGAAATCTAAATAAAAGTAAACTAAGATAATAATATCATAATGTCCACTCCGGTAGAAAAAAAATACTCACATATGTCTTGTTGATTTCTTCTAGAAATCTCTCCGGGTACTCCACGTATTTTTCACAATCCTTCTTCACAAAACTCGCAAGCTCTTCTTCTCCAGCTTTGTCAAGGTTCCTTATTAATATGGTTGGTGTCAATCTATCAGGATTGCACCCTGAGTCCCTCATAATTTTGTATGTATTCATTGCTTTGTCGATCATTCCAACTTTTAAATAGCCACCTATCATTTCATTGTATATTCTTGTATCTGGCTGTAAACCTTCTTTTTTCAGTTCTGATAGTAGCTTTTCAGCTATTTCAATCAGCTTGTTTTTTCCCCCAACATTAGGATCATGTCGCCGTAGAGAGATAGATCGAGTCTGAATGTATCCTCCTTTCTCATGAAGTCAAAGACCTGGAATCTGTTTGAATATTAGATATATTATTAACATACCAGGGCAAAAGAAAAAGGATACAACTTCATGTTAATATAAACATATCTATTATTATAATTATTATTATTATTATTATTATTATTGTTGTTGTTGTTGTTGTTGTTGTTGTTGTTGATAAAAGGGCACACTCCAAAAACTGTGAGATGCTGCTATTTTTGGTGAGAACATGGCATTCTTTAGTAAAACGCAAAATAACATTCTACTCTGTACTCACCAAGCAGCTGCCATCTAAGCAATTTTAAGCACAAGGCAAAAGGCTCTAAAAAAACCGAGTACAGTAGTGTGAATAAATATGTAGAGAAGTCCAATATCATCTGAAGGCTGTCCTTGCTAGGTACATGAAGAACAGGATATATGTACATGAAGAAAAGGATATATGCCTTCTTTAAATATTTGAGAGGATGGCAAATTTCTGACAATATATTAACGATAATAAAACTTTATATCTTTTTTTACCATGAAAGCTGCACATTGTTATCCCATTTACACCGAATTCCAAATCCATGACATCCCTAGTGCTCTGATACTATGTTGGAGACAACTTTTATTAAAAAGCATAAATACAAGCCAAAAATTTCCAATTTCTACCCTGCCTTGCTTTGTGGGATTTTACTAGACAATGCTCAAAACTACATTCCCAATGTAACTTTTTGCAACTTCTTACAGTACATGCATATTATAATACATAATTTTTTTTAGAGACTGTACGTACATATATAATACACATATAGGAAGATTATATGCATACAACATGCATAACTGTTTCTGATACGCATAACAAAAGCATTATGATTATGCTTCTAACACTGAAGGTGTAGGAATTGTGCATGCGCCAGTTTGACGAGGGTTACAGAAAAGCGTTGATTCTTGCTTGAGAAAATCTTACTATGAAATTATTTGTTTTGCATCTGATTGATGAATTGTGCATATGAACAATGACTTCATAAGCCAAGTACCATTAACACCCTAAAAAGGTCAAAGACAACAAGGGCACTGAAGGTAGGCCTTGCATCTTCATCTGAGCCTAGTACTTTTGTTCCACCATATGAGAAAAATCGGTACCCACAATGATGAAAGAGACGTATACCAATCTTTTGGGAGTACTTAAACAAATATTGTTGGAATGCATCATGAGCCAAAAGACAAAACATTGCGATAAAAAGTTCTTAACAATGTGACCACCACCAAGATCTACTGAGCTATTTCTTCAAGCATAAAATCAAATGTACTAACAAAACATAACTTGAAAGTAACCAGCTGAAATTCTTCAATCACCAAGAACCGAGTTGTATAAGCACAACTTAACCTCAAAAATTCATTAATTACAAATCTACCCAATAAGGTTCTCTCTATGAACTATGGCCACACCTCATTCCAATAAAACCCATATCATCAAAATCGACAGATATCACTAAACTGACAGCAACCCATCAGTCAAAATCAAGTCTTTAAGAGAAAGAACAAGACCTGAAGAGCAATCTCCCGCTCATTCTGCCTCTGCAGCTCCCCAAGCACAGCCACCAAAATCCCCCTTGATCAACCTCCCAATCCTGTCACTAAACACTTCACTCTTTCTATACTTCTGCAGCAAAAATGGTAGGGGGTAAAAAAAATCAATAACAGAAGGAAAACACCAGTTAACACTTTAAGTAAATTAAATAAGAAAAAGCAATATTCACGAGGCAGGGACTTAATTGATACAGAACCTCTTTGGCATATCAGGTAGCAACTCTTTCACAGACTGAATAAGAACCTCAGTTCCTGTTTCCTCTTTTGAACCATTTAAATAATCTTCAATGCCTGCTTTGATGTCCAATCACACAACTACCAGCTCAGCCGAGAATATATACACAAAAGAATAATACAAATGACACACATTTATGGTACCTGAAGAATCCAGAGGTGATCCGCCTCTAAGATAACATCTCGCAATTTCATTACTGTGTCTGCCTTCTGCACGCAAAAAATTATCTAGCATATGGCCTATCAATCTATAAGCAACCAAACTTGTCTCATCAGGTATCTCCTGGGTCAAGATTTCTCTCATGTTTGCAGCTCCCAATTCCTCTTCAGGACAATGATCACAAGTCTTTTTATGATTGCCTGGATCTGGATTAGATCTCTTGATTAAGTCTTCATTTCTATTATTACTCTCCAAATTAGACTTCTTGATGAAGTCGCCAAAAATGGAAGCCTGCTCAAAACAATGCTTGAGAGGATTTATATGATTATCCTGATTCAGTATAGGCAACTTCTTAATAAACTGCATATCAGACTTCAATGTGAGAAAATTTGAATCCCCTGTACCCTCTACTTCATCATTTAAGCAAGATCCATGATCCTTTCTGTTAGAATTAGAGCAATAGCATTCATCAGCCAAATCAAAATCATTACTTTCACAGTTGTCATCAGTTCCTAAAATTTCAGGGTTTTCATCGATTCTCTCGTCTGGAAGTAGGTGCGATGCAGTTGTTTTCAGATGACAGCAAATATTCAGTACAGCTTCTACTTCTTCATCCATAATCCTTGCTGAAAACAATTGGAGCCTACGCCGAGACTTTCTGTTTAAAGTAGCAAGAATTCTCAATACTTCATCTGGGATATCTATCGCGTCACAATAAAAAAGATATTCCATTAAATATTTTCTAAGATTAATTCTAAAAACCTTCCGAGCAACTTTGGCTTCAGGATCCACTAGAGGTTGCAAGGCAATGAGCTCATAAATCCCGACTTTTGGGAGTGACCAAATAGCTCCTAGTATATCATTCTGCAGTCCTACTGTTTCTGGTGAAAAAGGATAGAATTCAGACTCAATTATCTCAAGACATCTAGTCCTCCGTTTGAGAGACAATTGCACAACTGATAAAGCTTTAGCAAATGATTCTGGAAGTTCAGCCCCCTCCTTGAGATTTGACATGAATTTTTTGCATCTCTTCTTCACACGTTCAAGTAGCAGATCCCTTTTATATCCAGACCGTGGAGGTGGAAACTGAGGGACAAGCGCGACTCCCCTTAGCTTCTTGTTCATTGCTTTTAGATCCTCAAAGGGCATTTGGTCAATTTCTTCCAAAGCCGACTCCCCTTAGCTTCTTGTTCATTGCTTTTAGATCCTCAAAGGGCATTTGGTCAATTTCTTCCAAAGCTTTGAGAATAGATGACATAAGAGAAGCCTTTTAGATCCTCAAAGGGCATTTGGTCAATTTCTTCCAAAGCTTTGAGAATAGATGACATAAGAGAAGCAGAAACAGGAGTGAGAAGCGTTAGCTGTTTCTTCTCAACATGATGGTTTCCTTGGCCACCACTAAATGCGCAAAAGCTGCCAAAGCTTTTCTCAACATTTGATCTAACTTTCTCAAAAGAAACCTGAAGAATGAGAGATTCAATACACATGAATAGATTACAAAGAATGAGAGTACAATGAATACTGATGAAAGCAATTCTGAACTCGAGTGAGATTAAACTAACATGAATAGCAACACAAACAACATGAGATGATCACATGATGAAAATCCTGAAGGAAATAATTCGGAAACTCAAGTGAGACTAAAGCAACTATAGATTGTAATGACTAAATTATTATAGAACAAAAATCATACTGATCCAAGCAAAAACTCATGTCTAATTAGTTGCTTGGGATGTCAACAATACAGTAAACTTAGGCAAAATAAATTTGAAAGGTCCATAAGTAGGTTAATAAGGATTGTCCAACCTCATATGACAGGACAGATCAGTTCAACTGGTTATGCTTCAAGTATCCAGACTTGGCAAAGTGTGATATGAGAGTGGTCACAGAACTCTGTCGAGCACCTTTCTAATTATTCATACACAAATATGAGAGGCTTTTTTTGGCATTCTGACTTATCCATCAAAAGTAAAACGTGCATGTATACTAAGATTGTTTATATTGCTCTGCTTTGTGACTCATGTTCTTTTGTTTTTATATTCTACTCTATAAATTATTATTGCCTAATATTCATTAAAAAATCAACCTATAGGATAATATGGATATTGTTATAAATAGTAACAGGTAGAGTGGGGGGGATTGGGGCACAGCTAAAATAAGGGAAGATCCATGCATTCAGAAGCCTATGATAACCAGCTTGGCTTGTTGAGAGATTTGGTTTTGGCAATACAGACCAAAAAAGCACAAATTATTATACCTACACTTCTTATTAAGAAATTTGTATACTGCAGATTCAGAAATAACTAAATCCTCGAGACTGCTATCTATACTAAAAAATGTTAACTTTATTTACCTTAAGACAATAGCTAACTTGAGGTTGTGAAAGCATAACAGCAATTTAATGAATGTTGTAAAATGTAGTCAATAAAAATAAAGCATGGATATGTTCATGTCCTTCATAGTTATCGAAATAATATTTGAATTAATTGCCATTTAAATTGTACTGACCCTTGCATCATTGCATAAGAAGCATATTGGGCCATGATGGTGAGGCTGTTCATGTGGGGCATCTATGCACATGCAGACTTTTGTGGGTGAATATGTATGTGCATTAAATTTATCATGCCAATTTATTCACGAACCACGTAAATTATAATCCACAAAGGTTAATCATAGCCTATGGCTTCAAGGACATATCAAAAGAAATTTAACAGGTTGCAACTCTTTTGATCCATAGATATAATAATCACTTAGATACAAGCTCATCCACGAGCTCTCAATGCACATAAAACAAAACACAAAAATTTCAATTTAGATCTATGATATATTGACAAAGTGCATTTTCAATTTCTGCAGTAAGAGATTAAAGTCCCATTTCAATTTAGATCTATGATATATTGACAAAGTGCATTTTCAATTTCTGCAGTAAGAGATTAAAGTCCCTGAGTCTAAATTCTTAAATAAGAAAACTCAAAGTGCATTTTCAATTTCTGCAGTAAGAGATTAAAGTCCCTGAGTCTAAATTCTTAAATAAGAAAACTCCCCAACATTTCTTCCTAACTTAAGGAGCTTTAACTATGTATAAGTGTTGAGGGGTTCCCTGGTTTCAGGTGAAACCTTGAGTTTTTTATTTTATTTTAACTTACAATTTTTTAAGTCATGAGAACTTATAGAAGAGGGAAACAACTCACTTCATTACTTCTGAAACATGATTCTGGCACGTACCTGCGAACAACAACAATATCCATGGAATAAAAATACCTTCCAATACACAAAACAGAAAAAAGCAACTTCTTACAAGTATAATAGAAGTTATTATATACGGGCAATAAATTTTTTGAGTTTTGGACAGCTACATATATATAATATAACCATGAAAAATCTGCACAGATATTGAATGTATTATTCCTTACCAGTTATGCATAAGACCTATTAGTGTTATAATTAGTTAGATACAGGCATTGTGCTCTATAAACCCAGAATAATGTTTATGAAGCTTAAAATTATGTATACTGAGTACTGATAGAATTTAGGCTAACATTCATTATTATAGCAATTTGAACTTTTCTTCAAACTCTAGTCCTTCAGGTAAAGTAGTCCTTCAGGTACAGAGCCAATAAGTAACAAGAGAGCACAGTGTAGGGCCGTGGATTTTTCTGCTTCATGCGCATGCATGCATGTATGCAAGCATTCTCTGTGTTCAAGCACATTTTAGTAGTGCAATTACTAAAAAGTGTACTTTAGTTAAGTGCTCAAAAAAATATTTGATACAAAAGCAGAATCTTAGCAGTACCTTGCTTTTATGTTAAAATTGCTACCATTGCATCAAAGTGGCTGCTTGAAATGCAAAAAAATGCAAAAAAATATGTTCTTACAAAGAACATCAAACAAATATTCCTGTAACATAATTATGTACTTGGAGAAACTGTAGAAGTAGCTGGTCTGGCATAGAGTAAACTCAACTATTCATATTTTCTTGAACTCTTTCGATGAATATAGCATAGGTATCTTTGCAAAAAGTAAGAAGGCAGGCCACCTTCAAGTTTATCAGGTGTCAAGTTTCCATGTCAAACCCCTGTTAGCTACATCACTTTGATGGCATGAAATAATCGAGCATGTGTCATGCTCAGTCAAGATAATAAAAGGCACCCAGATTTGATGGAGTTACGTCCACCATGTAGATGGCCTTGGTACCAAGAAATTAATAAAATGATGACTTAGATTGGTAGTTAGCTTCCTAGTTCTGTTTTATAACTTAAGAATCCGCTATTTAGATTCCTATTATGCACCAAGCGATAAAATTTATATACATTCATAAACTAACACACTTATTGATTTTAAATACATTGAACATATAACAAATTGGGAAATAAACAATCATCTTACTCATCTGACAGGAACTTGGGCATTTTAGACTTCTTTTTGCTGCCATCCAACATAGATCCTGCAGGGAGTCCCATTAACCATCTGCACCCAAGTCATGTCTTAGTTCATTCCTTGTCAGTACAGCAAGGAAAATAATACCAAAAACTTCTCATTTTAAAATTTTCTGGAGTGTTATATCTTAGAAAATAACCCCAAAAAGTTTATTTTCTTATATTTTGAATTATTAAGTGTTGGCAATTTAAATTTGAAACAAAAATATTATGGAACTTATGTTTGTACCATTGTATAGATGCAATGATATCATTCAAACATCTCAAACAAGAATATTCTTGTGTTACCGTTTACCAATCCTCCTTGGTATGCAATGATATCATTCAAACATCTCAAACAAGAATATTCTTGTGTTACCGTTTACCAATCCTCCTTGGTATCCAGGAGAAGGTGGTGGATAAATCAAACAAGAATATTCTTGTGTTACCGTTTACCAATCCTCCTTGGTATCCAGGAGAAGGTGGTGGATAAATTTTATGGGCTGTGGTCATCTTCAAAACACTCATTTCCTTAAGATGAATCCCCATCGTTGTTTATATTTCAGAAGGAGATATAATAGAGTACATTTATGAGAGTCTCTAGCATAAAAAAAGTTTTGTTTAACTTGTATGAATGTGCATAATGCTTACGTTATAGGATGCAATAACGAGGGCACATATTATATAAGTAATTGATTTCAGCCATTGCATTTACCTTTTTAATATCAAAGGAACATTTGTAGCAGAGTAAAGCTTTGTGCGTAAAAAATGGGAAATTCATTTCTGAAACTTCTTTGAAAATTTGACCCTAAATTAAGTTTATTTTTTGTGGAATGAGACAATAGCATCCTTGACACTACACGTACTTTAATTGACTTGATTAATTTTCGCTATGGGAGGCTAAACAATTCACTTTTTTACAAGGATTGTTAAAATTTGTAATTTTTAAAAAATAGGGGACTATGGGAACTTTAACAAACCTCCTTTTCTTATTGAGAAACTCATCTTGATGCCACACTCTAGAAGTCAGCTTCTTTATATCTCGAAGCGAGTAGTTCATTGTTGATTCTGTAAATTCCTCCACAGTAAAATTCAAATCCAAAGTCAAGAAAAACACTTCTTCTAAAAACTGTAGAATTATTAAACTAGAGAAAGCCAAAAAAACAAAAAATAAAGAGAGAGAGAGAGAGAGAATCTGAACCTTGTCCCAGAATAGGAGGCATGGGTTTCTCTTCTTTAGACATTAAAGAAATAGATGACTTTTCTCTGAAAAATACCCAATATGAATACAAAATTACTAAGAAATCACTAACCACAGAATAAACAAATACAGAAAGTAAACAATACGAGAAACTGAGAAAGTAAGATAAAACCCAACCTTAACCTAGTCCTAATCTCGTCCCTCAGATAGATTTTTCTATTGAGGAGCAAAAAAGGGGGAAAGCCCAAAACTTTGGCTTTCAATTGAGTTTATGATGGGAATCGACCTAAACCGCTAACTGGACGCAGAACAGACTAATAGCAATTTTGGATCAAAACCCTTAAATGAATTGACCCGACAGGACAGTGTGACTGAAGAAGACCAAATGCATTTTCTACCTAATTATGTAGTCAGTCTCCACCACTTCATGAAAGGTCGAAATTAGGAGAATTTAAGGTTATAATTCAACAATAGGTATAATCCAAAAATCACCACCCTCAAAATTCAAACAAGATGACATGATTGAGAACCTGAAGAATCCTTGGATGCAAGACAATATTAAAATAGAATAAAGAGTCATCTTCACCTAACCAAAGGTCAACAAAATTAAATCCTACTATTTGTGAACCATTCTCGTATTAACAAATAACCAACACTAATCTGAACCCAATCTCAAAGATCAATTCAGACCGGATTGGGTTGTGTTCAAGTTAGGTTGTATTGTTTTTAAATTACTAGCTCCGCAAATGAAAAACATATTACATAAATGAAAAAATATCACATATTTAAAGAAATTAATTATAATTTTTGATACAGAAATATAAAAATTACTTAACTTTAATAAAACTAGCAAACAGATAATAAATTGACGTGCAAATGTTGATGTATTCTATAATCCCAATTAATTGGTGGAGATAATAACATACTTGTTGAATTTCCCCAAATTATCTTTAGGCTACATTTGGGAAATGAGATTTGAATACGGAAGGTTGATTCAAAATCAAGGGATTTTGAATCTGGAATTTCAAATCCATGATTTGATAAATCCTTTGTTTGGATGTCTTTATTAAATGATAGGATTTCAAATCTTTCTTTGTAAAATATAGTGTTTGATACTTTACTATATATGAATTTGGATGTCAAATTGGTATTTTAAGAAAATTTACCCACTTAACTCCTCTTCTTTAAATCAAACTCAATGAGATGGTCAAATAGTAACAAAAAAAGAGGTAAAATTAGCTATTTTCAGCAATGATGACTACATTTACTACGATTTTAGATAAATTATTCACCTTAACTTTCAAGACTTTCAACAAAATGAAGATAACTCTCGAAACAGCCCAAGTATCTAATAACATATCATCATTGCATATCCTTAGTATTGAGAGATGTTAATAATAACGGATCAAGAAAAAGGCATCATTCTTTGTCCTCCTCCTTCATCTTCTCCGCTCTCAACTTAATGTCTCGAAGATGTTGAACTGTTCTGGGGTTTAAAATCGACATAAAACAGGGGAAGCTAGAGACTCAGAAGTTGTTCAATTGCTGCCAACTATCCTTTGAAATATTCCCTATAAAGGAAAGAATATTAACCTAATAATTGTTGGATTTTGTTAGTTTGCAATTACGTTTACATGTTGTCCACAAATAGATGATACAATAATGCCATTGAACACCGATATTTGTTAAAGTTGAAGCCTTTTATAAGGCTTGTGAAAAAACTTTCAAAGCTGTCGACATAAAAGTAAACTACAACAAATACCACATTCTGCAGCTTATACCACAATTTCACATTTTGAGATTCTACCATATTCAATATTCATCACACCTTACGTGCTCTTTTTTTGTATATCAAGGACAGCTAATACGTCATTACTTCATAGGAAACATACAAATAATTGCTCATGATATCAAAATTTTCTCATGTATGTTGCATTTGAATTAATTTCACTAGTGTGCAACCCGTGCAAAGCACACCCTCCTTTTTTTCCTACAGTAATTATGTATTTAAATATAAATTTCGTACTTGCTACAGTAACATTTTTAAAAACTGCAGTATCCCGCCTGAGCCGCGGTGATAGTACTACAGTAATGTTTTCAAACACTACATTTCCCACTGTGCTACAGTAACAATGCTACAGTTTTTGTTGTGGTATGAATAGTGCATCTTAGATCCTCCTATTTGTATTGCAGCAACAATGCTACAGTAATTTACTGTGTCATGAATAGTGAATCTTGGATCCTCCCATTATTATAGAGGAATAGATGCAATACTTATAAATGTAAATAAAAGCTCCCCCCTAGCATTTATAAGTATATTCCCACTCTTCTCTCCTCTCCTCATACCACCTCCTCACCCCCTTCCTTTTCTTGCTCTCAGCTCTCTGAGCTTGTTAATAATGGAGGTTATCCTCATCATTCCTTGTTAATAATAGGGGATTACCTTCAAAATACTTAAATGCCCTTAATTGCTTTCTTTTCAATTTACGAGATTGTGGAGGTCAAATTACTTAAATGCCCTTGGCTGCCTAGTGGATTTGGATACTTAGTTTGAGGCGATGGAGTTTATCAAGCAGATGTGAATCGGGTTGGTCCGCCCGACCCGGTTAATAATTTGGATAATCCTTGCCCGATTCACGTAAATCAATTAATAAACTGTAACAATCTTTACATACAAATTTATGTGTTTGAGAACTAATCATTAAAGATTTTACGATTGAGTAAAGTCTCTATTCTATTTTAATTTTTTAAAATTTTATTATTTTTAAACGTGGTTTAATTTTCAATTCCACCTCATTGAACCGAAAACAAATAAAACGCTCAATCATTTTTGTTCTTACTGTTCTTCAACGTCTCTTTGCCATAATGTATTTGTATGCAGAACTTGATCTAAAATAAGATCAGAACGTCCGCCCTTTGTTATTCCTTTATATTTCAACCAGGTTATTGTTCAAATCCAATAGATGAAAGCATGTTTTCAGCATTAATTATAATCCTCATCACAAATCATTTACTAGAAGACTAACGAACAAGATTAATGGAGCAACAAACAAACTAGTAAAAATTTGAAGTGCTTGTATCCATAATGATAATTGCAGCCAACATAATTCATGAAAGCACATTTTGTAGAACTTTCCACTTTTACAGTAAAATTTGCTCATCTATGCTAATATAACTTTAATCTCTCAGGCATCATATACAAAATGGTCTACAAAATTGTCGCATCATCATTAATTCCAGTAGCGACATCATTTTTTATCTTCAATGCCTCATTTAATTCAAAGTTTTGTTTACTTAAAATATGAAGACTTGGGTTTTCTTCCTTGCCTCATTTTTATCCTCAATGTCTGCAATAGGAACACATTTTGATTTCCATCTATATACCCCTTACGTATATGATATTTTAAAATTACCCTTACCACAATACCTTCACATATGAAGACTTGGGTGTTAGATAATGACTATATATCTATTCTTCTATAATAATGGGAGGATCCAAGATTCACTATTCATGCTACAGTCTTAATTATCATGTACAGGCTACTACAGCAACTCTCTTTATATGCTGAGTCTTAATTCTCAATTGTGTAGTGCATTGTCATAGGATTCGATTTGTGATGGAGAGTTGGTATTAAGTTGGCGAATGTTTTATGAGAATATTATTTAGTTGTTCGATTGGATTAGTGGTTATGATGTTGGAAAGGAATTTACAACGGTTAGTTGACGGGATAATCACTAAACCATTCGCTGGTGGAAATCTTCGGGGCGTTGTTAAAAAGCAATTACATGATTAGCTAATTTTGTGTATTGTAATAAGAACTTCTAAATTTATCATTAGTTTGTGTATAATTAAGGATTCTTAATTTTCTATCCTAATTGTGTTATTTTCATATCCCCACATAGATAATGGATGAAGCATGGGTCAAATTTCAACATGCATGTCATTGTGCAATTGGATATGTTCTTTGTGTGATTGCTTATTGGTTCATACAACAAAGAGACCTTACGAGCGTAGATAAGTAACTAATATGGTGCGGAAAATATTATCACAAAGGATTGTATATAGGGAAATGATCTGAATGAATCCACCGGCTTTTCATCAATTATGTGGAATATTAGAGGGAGATGGCGAGCTTAAACGAACTAAAAGAGTTACTATTGAGGAATAAGTTGCAAAATTTTTGTATATGTTGGGATACAACGTAATTACTCGTGAGGTTAGTAAGATATTTGGTCGATCTAGAGAGTGTGAGTCGTCATTTTCATAATGTTTTAAGAGCTATGATAAAGTTGGAAGAGATATTTTTAGTACATCCCAATGGAGCACAAATTCCTCCAGAGATGCTCAACAATCCAAAGTTTGATCCATATTTCAATGTGATGATAAATTTCACAAATTCTTATTTTTGTATAGGTTGTTAAAATTAGAATTTAACTAATTACTCCTTATATTGTCAGGATTGTGTTGGAGCAATAGATGGATCATGGAACACACATCCGAGTAAAGGTTTCTCCTATTGACGCTCCTAAGTACCATAGTAGGAAAGACCATCCGACACAAAATGTATTGGTTGCCTGCACATTTGACTTGAAATTCACTTATGTCTTACCTGGGTAGGAAAGTATTGCGTCTGATTCTAGAATTTTAAAAAATGCTTTACAACGATGATTTCCACTTAAAATCCCTCGAGGTAATCATTAATCCTGAATAATCTACTAATGACAATGGGACCTTTTTTTATAGGGTTACTAATAACATAGAAATTTTTTTAGAAAAATATTATCTTGCTGATGGTGGATACATGTTAAGAAGTGGAATAATTCCACCGGGGAATACTACCATTTGAATGAGTATTCAAAAAATTCACCAAGGACTCAACGTGAGCTGTTTAACCTAAGACACGTGTCACTTCGCAATGTCATTGAAAGAGCATTTGGCGTATTAAAAAAAAGATTTCCCATCATAAGGAGCTCAATTGAACTGAATTATGGTGTTAAAGTACAAAATAAAATCATCCTAACTTGTATTTTGCACAATTTTTTAAGGGGTGCCGATCCATAAGATGATTTTCCTGAAAGGGAAGAATATGATAATGAAAACCCATCGGACGAAGATGATGTGAACGAGGATATAGATGAACAAAGAGGTGAGTGTTTAAGAGATTCCATTGCAGCTTCTATGTGGCAAGATTATAATGCATAATTAATGTAATATATAT